GTGTGTGTGTGTGTGTAGTTATTGCACAGTGTGTGTGTAGTTATTGCACAGTGTCTGTCTGTGTGTGTGTGTAGTTATTACACAGTGTGTATGTGTAGTAATTGCACAGTGTGTGTAGTTATCGCACAGTGTGTATGTATAGTTATGCACAGTGTGTGTGTGTAGTTATTGCACAGTGTGTGTTTGTTTGTGTAGTTATTGCACAGTGTGTGTGTGTGTTTGTGTAGTTAATGCACAGTATGAATGTATAGATATTGCACAGTGCATGTATAATTATTGCATGTGTGTGTGTCAGTTGTTTCCCATTTTTTGAAATAAAGTGCAAACAGGCAGGAAAATAGATGCAGAGGGTTGTTTTTCATGAGGTGATTGCAAGTTTAAGAACCTGACGGCCTGATAGGAGAAACTGTTCTTAAAGGTTCAGTGTGTAGAATTATGACATCTAGTGGTGATGTTGCATGCAGCAGAACACCTCTCACCTCCCCCTCCCCTTACAAACACGAAAGAGAACCTGTGGAAGCCTTCAGTTGACATACAAACTCAAAAGATACTTAGTTTGACTACTGTAAAATAAACAGCAGCCTCCTGGAGAGGACCCGCTTCAGATGTACATATAAAGTATTTAAAGATAAAGGGCCCATTCTAGGTTGAAGAAACACACAGGGATAATTTTATATTCAATTTCATTAGTGTTTCCCTTAAATCCTACACACTGGACCTTTAAGACATGATGGTAATACAAGTGTGCTGAGGACCGCAGGTTCTGAGGGTCATTGGGTGAGGGGTAGTGGAGAAGAACACACATCTTATTATCTATATACAAACATATGTGATATCATCAGTTGCATCGAATCATCACTTTAGGAGTGTGGAGACCTTTTGAAGGAGCAAAAGCACAGTTACAATTAAAAAATAAGTATCTCTGCCTCTTGGTCTGTCTGTCTGTGCTTTGATTTACCTGACAACCGATTAACTTGGCATGTCTATTGCTCAGGACCCGTGGGAAGTGTGACCACTGTATAGTGTTTACATGAGTGGTTGTCAAGGACCTAGGTCTCCAGACTACAATTAAAATCCTGTACAATGGATGTCAGCACTATTTGATTCTGCATATGTAAGCGTGTGCAGTCAGAACATGAAGCTATGAAGGGAAGAGTTGCAGGTAATGAACTTATGTTTACCATAGTCAACAGAGCTGCATGTGTGTCATGCCCCTGCACCAGTTTTGACAGTAGCAGCACAACACGGAAAGTCATGACGAAGGCCTGCTCTCTGTTGTCAAGGACGTCTCTACACCACCTACACCTGCTGAGGAAGATGACGACCATGATCACGACCGTGATGGAGCCGACATCCAATGCCGGCAGTGCATTTCCAAAGGACCCAAATTAATGAATACCTCTGAGTGCAGGATGAGTCATCATACAGCTGTAACTGGTTTACAGAAAGAGGGGCAAGATTATGATGTAAAAATAAGAGATAAATGAACAGTTAACACAGGATCTAAACTAGTACATACATTTTCATTTCATGGGGCATTTCAATTTGAAACCAGTACTTAGTTTCTCAACATCCGCCGAGTTTTATTTTTCAGGACTCAAGGAAGCTCACTGTTGACCGATAAGTGTTTTGGATACGTGGTTGGCGAGAACCCTATCCTGCCAACCTTCCCCCAGGGCAACAGAACCGGGAGGAGTTATGGCTCAAACCATATTCGAGATTGATCTATGATTGAATATGTACCTTACTCCCAACTCCTAACCTCTATCAAAGTCCTTTTTAGGACTCAGCCTTGGATTCCTGACAGTCGCCCAATTCATGTCTCTAAGTCTCTGAGACTCTAAAACCGGCCTTGTTAGTGCTGATAGTTTCAGTAAAATAGGTGGGTAATATGGCAGCTTTGTCTGACTCTTGTTTAAAATGCTAGGATAATATGATTCCATGATAATAGCAGGGAGACTCTGTGCACTAACCCAGCATTCCAAACTAGGGTTATAACGGCCTTGCATGTAGGCTACTACATTTTTATGCCCAAATGCATGAGCTTTAAATTGTTGCTGGCATTACAGCAACATTCAAGATCACTAAATGTCAGAAATTTCAACCTGCTGGTGGAAAATCAGGGCGATCAACAAAGTGATGAAGATATAAAATACCATTCATTTTTAACAGGAGAAAAATACAAAGCAATGAAAGGAAACAATGTCATTGAGTTCATTAAAAAAAAACGTTTATTTCCATGTCAAATCAAAACACCAAATTTCCAGTAAACTGTAGCACAATGTGGAAGTACATCAGGCAGACTGTACAGAAGCCAGCGAACAAACACAGCAGCAGTGAGCTGGATACACACATTTGGTTGATTCAAGGACAAAAAGGTGAATCACTGCATCAGTACAAATAGCGTAAAGGCTGGTGTGAGCAAAAAAGTGCTTGTTCACTTGTCTTTTGAATTGGTACACAATCAAAGTTTGTGTTTCAGCATTTATTTCACAATAAGCATAAGAGGTAAAGGTAGCACAAGAGTTACATAGTATCCCCATCTACACTCAAATCATTGGGTTGATTTGGACGAAACTGTCTTTTCCACAGTGACTTTCCTGAGGTTTGCTGTGTTAACTTCATAATGGGTGAGTTGTGTTCTATGAGAGATTTGACATTCCTTGGTTGCTACTGGTAGTAGTACAGTGTTATGGACAATGGCTTTCAAATGTGTGGATTGTCAGTGGTGTCCTTAGCAATCCAAAAGGCACAGACAGATCTACTGAGCCGTTAAATCTCCACACAAAAGCTTCTCTGAGGAGAAATGTTTACTGAAGGTTATTTGAGGATAAAAGAGAAGCTAGAAAAAGAGTAACATCATCATGATCATAATGAGCAGAACGGACAAACTCCAGCTGAGGTTGTACTCTGGTTTCAGAGGCAATGCACACATGATCAGAACGGGAGCGGCTATTTATTTGATCTACAAAAGATCCATTAGCAATAAAATAAAATGAAATCAGTTACATCCTCTCATATGTGGGGATGTATGTTACAGTAAACTGAATGTTTTTGAACTGTGCACAGGTGCACAAAGATATAACTCTGGGCTTTTGGGAATCTGAGTGTAAATAATTGTGATTTTTCAAATTTTCTTTACATTTTTTGGACCAAAGAATTAATTGAAATAATAAATGAAAAAAACATTTTTTAGTTACAGACCTGAGCTGCTGTCTCATAATTTATGGCTGAGAAGATGTATTATTAAGTAGTATGGCTTATCATAAAGTGTGAGGTGAATAGAATCCACTGACAGATAACTAAGCTTATCACACACTACCATATACGGAAGGTTCCATTCTGAAAATATATATTTATACACAAAGTCAAAAAGTGGTCTCAACATTTTGACTCCATTGTGGAACATTTATGATCTTTAAGTCAGTCCCATTTCCACAAAACAGTAGATGTTTGAGTTTAGTCTGAAAAATGATAGCATTTATTATTTGTGGTTAGGGCAGAGTGCCTTTAAATTAAAATATTTGAATCAAAATAAATTGTTGAACTTGATAGACAAGTTGTAGTTGAGTGTGAAAGTCAAGCTCAGTTTGGGTTTGGACAGAAATGAAAATCAGACACCCGGAATTTTACATTCAAGACCACTTCAAGTTATTCTGTTGAATCATGATTGACAGCATGTAACGTACAGAGTAAGAATACACTCCATCTAAAAACACTAAGTGACAGGTGAAGCCGCACTGATTTTCAGGGGACTGGGCCCAATGGGGACTGCACATTGTCATATCGTAGAAAAGAAAGCATGTTCACAGATCCCCACAGGGTGAAGAGATTAATACAGTAATTGTTAAGCATGTTAAGTAAAATGTAAGACTACATTATGAACCTCTGACATATGAATCTGACATCCAGAATAAAAGAGGGGAATTCTTGAAGTCTTGAAATGTCTGTATGAAGTTTTATAACTGCTGTTAATCATTCACTGCTTTGTTTTAGTGTGTTACAGAAAACTGCAAACACACAGAGACTGAAGCTGTGTCACCTAACATCTGAAAAGCTCAGCTAAGGTTTTGAACTGGTTCAGCTAAATAAGGACTGTCTGAGTTGAATCTGATTGCTGAGTCAAATTCACTATAATACTACTGAGCATTCACTATTAAATACTACAAAATGATGATGTGGCTGACAGTCTTATTTGATGTTTATTATTTTTGTGCTTTTGCTTTCATCTGTCTCTTTGACCTCCGACCACTTTCTATAAGCAGGGGTGTTGGTCGGTGTGTAAATCGATCATAAACCAGAAAACAAGCAAACAGTAAGAGAAGCAAGTGAAAGAACCAGAGATCCCAACTGGAAACATGACCAGTGATTACTCTCAGCTCAATGACAGAAACTCTAGTTCCACCAGGTTCAAACTTCAAACCAGACATGAACCATGTCTGTATAAAACGGTTGTCTGTTGTTCAGCTTCCCAGGACACTGGAGTTAGGATGAGGACACCACTTGATTTGGTTTCCAGCGTCACAGGTTTAAACCTGTCTAAAGCCAATGACACAGCAGTAACTACGCTGCACCTACATGGGAGGAATGGTTGTTGATTTATACTCTAAATACTGCTGGTGTTCACAGTGGCTGAGGTTCAGCTAAAGTTGCATACTTTTTTATGGATTTACTACTAGATATATACTACTAATTATACAACTATCATTATTGACAAATAGCTCCTGTTATAGAGAAGAGAGTCTGATTGTCTGCATTCAGTCCAATGTTAACTGTGTAGAAGGAAATGAGAACATTTAAAAATCATTTGAAGAGACAGTAATTTGTATACTTTAAATTCTTATGCAAAAGTATCATTGTGCCAGCTAAAAGCTCATCAGGCACATATGAATGTAAAGTACACATAAAAACGAACTGCATAAAAATCCCATTGCCCCATACCAGCTGTACATGACCGTCCTGAGAAACTATGATGGGTGGAGATAAGACCAGTCGCTGTCGTCTGTCCAATGCCAGTAACGCTGACTCTTGAAAACATGGTTTGCTATCTCCACGGAGCTGTGGGCAGCTTAAACATGATGGTTGAGAACTGTAATGTGGATCTGTCAGAGGGACTAATGAACATAGGACATATCTTAATCTGGCTGCAGTTCAGAGAGAATTAAAGGGGTGGATAAGATGGAGTAGACCTGAAGGTGTGCAGCAGTATCAGGTTTCAGGTTCAGGACTGCTGGCTGCTCCACTGGTTGGCCATGGGCCTGCGGAGCAGTTCCTCCACATGACGGGCCACATCCATCGTGTCCTCCAGGTCAAAGTCTCCATCTGCATCCAACATTGTGTCACTACTGACAAGAACAGAGCAGAGACAGTCTTTGGATGTTCAATCGTGAAAGGCAAGTTACATGTAGGTAAAATCACACACATTCATACAGTGCATCTATCAGCAGCACTTCTTTGTTCTATGAGCGGCAATTCGTGGTTCAGCATCTTGCCCGTGGACGGCATGCAGAGGGGGAAGACTGGTGATCGGACTGCCTACATTCTGGTTGGAGGACGACCGCTCTACCCCTCAGCCACAGCCGCCAACTCAAATATGAGCTCAACATTTTCACAGGTGAATCTCTGTAGGTTCATCACACACTCCTTTCACCTTGATTCCACATTGAAATTTGATACAGGGTTATTACCTCCGCCAAGGAGGTTACGTTTTCATTCGGGCTTGACTGTTGGTTGTTTTTCTATTTTTCTGCAGGATTAGACAAAAAACATACAGAATCAATTTGTACCACACTTAGTGTAGGGATAAGGGAAGAACCCATTCAATGTTTTGTGCGGATCTGGTAAAAAGGAGCAGATGAGCTCCTCAAAATTTTTGTCAGTTTCTACCACAGAGACCAGAACTGATACTCTGGTCAAACACCCTACTTCTAATTCATAGAATTGACAGTACCCTGGGAAGATGCTGTTGAGAGTGAATGAGAGGAAAAGGTATGCAGACATAGCATCTGAGGCAAAGTGGCTGGAGGGCAGTGGTTGGGCCTGTGGAGGTAGGCTGCAGGAGTTTCATTGTTAGCGGATGTGTCTAACATAACCGGTGGTTAGCATCTTTATTAATGCAGTAGAACGTACAAGGAATATTCTTCATCTTGGGATATTCTCCATCTTGTCCATCATGTTGGGACAGCTTTTAACTCTGTTGCCTATGACAGTGTTTAGTTTAAAAAGACAGAGGTGATGATGTCTGATCTACTGAGCGGACACATGGCTTTCATAGTTCTGCCATCCAAGCCAGGAGAAAGCCAGATTTACCTTTAGCCTTAGCGTACCCTCAGGTTCAGATTGTAACGCTATAATGATTAAAAGCCTGGAACCCCTGATGAGGCTGAGGTGCACAACTAAAGATATGTCCCGAACATCCGCTGATGCTTGGCATCTTAATAAGTGCGGTAGACCTTTAAACAAACAAGGAATATTCTCCATCTTTTCATATTTTTCAAAAAGAAATAATATCTGCCTCTTCGAATTTGTCTTATCTTATGTTGTCTTTTTGCTACTGAAGTTGACTGTTGAATTGAATGATATATGTAGCACTCGTGGCCCGGCAGAAACAAAGTTTCATCTGTGCAAGGTGTAGCATTTGATTGAGTTGACAAAGTTCTCCTGGATCTTCAGTCAAGGAATGTACTTACATAGGTGGGTAAACACTGAAGTTGTTGGGGTGGCTCACAGAGGGAGAAGCTGTATGGTCCATGAATGTAGGAGTTGCTCCGCTGGGTTCAGGGTTTGGGGTGGTAAATCTACCAGAGACACAAAACAATTTTTTTACTTATTCATAATTATGTTTTTACTTTACAACATAATCTTGGGCATTTCTCTGTCCCAGTTACAGTTCTTACTACCAAAGAAGAGTCAGATCTAGGTTGAGTCCCCCCCCAGGTTGACCACTCCACTCTGCCATCACCAATAAGTGCATTTTCCATCTTAATATATATTTTCATACAAATTCAGATCTACCTGGTTAAACAATTGCAAATATGTCAGTGAAAATACTTGCACACTTAATTGCTACATATCTGGTTTCATTTGTACCGTACAGACACCTTCAGGGGAATTCAGCCTATCTTAGAAAATGGCAATATTCCTACCAGAAATAAAAGCCTGCCAGAAGTCATGCAACAGTCCTAGTCAGAGTAAAGGTGATTCATTCCTTAAAAGGTTTTTTACCATGTACTTTTCAGAACATTGCAAGACATACATCTGTTAGGAGCCGGACTGCTTTACAGTTTTATTTTAGATGGATGGATTTATTTTAGATCAGCGACACACACCAAATGCAAATCAAGCTTCAGGAACTCGCTACTTAATCAGTCCTGTCAGGTTCACTGGAGGGTGTGAGGTCAAGTTTCCTGTAGCAATTTTAGAAAAAGGAAAAAGATCCACTTACTCTGGCACAACTTGTTTGATCTGTGGTTTTACGTATCCATCCACTGCTTTTGCTGCAAGAGACACATAAACTGAGTTTAGGAATTTTAACTTTCCATTATAATCCATGTTAGTGGTGACAATAATCATACATGTAAAATTATATTATTGACATCGTGCTAATTATGCACATAATAATATTGTGTCAACAATTCAGTGCCTATTACATAATTTCAGTTTCTTCCTGTCATGGTCCAGTAAGTGTCTGGTTCTCACGTCAACTTAGTACCTCCTATTTCTAATGTATGTGTTGAGCAACAACTACTTCTGTGCGTGTGTGCCACTTACCCTCGACTTATTATTAATTGAATACTACTACAATGAATCACAATAATAACTTTATACATTACATCACTCTGACCAGCTTTAATCACAGAGCTCATGATTTATCGGCTCAACCATTGTACGTAGTAGTATTTTGTAGTATTTGTTGTATTTTCAGCATAATGAATTTGCCAAAAAGTGATACAACACACAATAAACAAAGTTAAAGCTGAAATGTACTGATAGAAGATTTATTATATTATACATTTTTTATTAATTATTATTTTTCAAACTTTCTCTAGATAATTGTGATAGTTTTCTTATTTGCAGATGTGTGTATTTAACCTGTGGCAGTGATGTATTGATGGAAACATAAGTATATATTGCTGGTACATACAGAGTGGAGGGGTGTAGTACTTGGCAAAAACCTCATCCTTGGGCTGGTCAGGATAGAGAAACAGAAGGTGGTTCAGGTCACTGATGCGATCAGCCAGGGAGCGAATGGAGAAGTCCTTGGTTGTGTAAGGTAACAGATTCCACACCAACCTCTCCCCTTAATCAAAGATAGGAACAAGCACAGATTACAATCACTGGATTTAATTCAATCAAATGTTATTTGTATTGCACCAAATCATAAAATACATTATCTCAAGGCTCTTTACATAGAAGGTGAAGACCTTAAAATCTTATTTAATATATAGAAACCCAACGGTTCCCACAATGAGCAGCACTTTGGAGACTGTGGAGGAAAAACTCCCTCATTAACAGAGAGAAACCACTAGAACCAGACTCAATGTGGGTGTCATCTGCCTCGACTCGTTGGGGTGAGCAGAGAAAAATGTGGAGAGGAGAGATGTACGGAAAAGAGGGGAGAGAAGAGAGAATGATAGTGGGGAGGTGGAGGAGGCGAGAGAGAGGCGAAAGAGACTGGGAACACCTGAGCGCCATCAGGTATCAGATCTGACTAGTTAAAATGTAAACAGTAACAGTGTAAAGACGTTATTGATTATTATTGATAACAGTCACAATTCATGTAATAATTAATTACCTAAGTATTGTTGTTAATAATAATAATTATAACAATAGTTGCTGTCCTGCAGTTCTGGTGTTATGAGCTCTTTGATATATGAGGGGGCTTGATTGTTAACAGGCTTTAAATGTGAGGGGCAGGATCTTGAATTCTATTCTGAATTTTACAGGGAGCCAATGTAGAGAAGCTAAGACAGGAGTGATATGATCTCTCCTTCTAGTTCCTGTCAGCACTCGTGCTGCAGCATTAAGGACCAACTGGAGGCTTTTCACAGACTTCCTGGGACATCCTGATAATAAAGAGTTACAGTAATCTAGTCTAGAGGGAACAAATACGTGGACTAGTTTCTCAGCATCCTTCTGAGACAGGATGTTTCTAATTTTCACAATATTGCACAGGTGGAAGAAATGACATGTCCTGCTCGAACATAACTTCAAGGTTCTTCACAGTGGAGCTGGAGGTCAAACTGACACCATCCAAGGTCACTATCTGGTCAGACAGCGATTCTCTGAGAAGTTAAGGGCCAATTACAACAACCTCAGTTTTGTCTGAATTTACAAGTAAGAAGTTTTGGGTCATCCAGGCCTTGATGTCCTTGAGACATTCCTGAAGTTGAACTAAGTGATTACATTCATCATGCTTCATAGAAATGTACAGCTTTGTGTCGTCTGCGTAACAATGGAAGTGTATGTGGTGCTTTCTGATGATGATGTTGCCTAAGGGGAGCATATATAAGGTGAAGAGTATCAGTCTAAGGACAGAACCTTGTGGAACTCCATGACTAACTTGCATGTGCATGGAGGGGTCATTGTTGACGTTAACAAATTGAAATCTATCTATCGATAAATATGATTTAAACCAGCCTAGTGCTGCTAACTTTAATCCCTACATGTTGTCCTAGTCTCTGCAGCAGAATCTTATGATCTATGGTGTCAAACGCTGCACTAAGATCCAACAGGACGAGTACAGAGACAAGTCCATCATCTGATGCCATAAAAAGCTCATTAGTAACTTTTAATAGCACTGTCTCTGTGCTGTGATGGGTTCTAAATCCTGACAGAAATTTGTCCAGCAAACCGTTACTATCTAAGTTATCACACAGCTGGTTAGCAACAGCTTTTTCTAGGATTTTGGAAATGAAGGGCAGGTTTGATATGGGTCTATAATTAGTTAAAACCTCTGGATCAAGAGTGAGCTTTTTAAGCGGAAGGTTAATAACAGCTACCTTAAAAGCTTGTGGTACGTAGCCAGTTAACAAAGACATGTTAATCTGATTTAATATGGAACTGTCAATTTGGGAGAAAACTACCTTAAAAAGTCTAGTTGGGACGGAGTCTAACTGACAAGTTGTTGGTTTAGATGATGAAAATAATAAGGTCAGTTCAGGGAGATCAATAGAAGAGCAATGGTTCAAATATAAATCTGGTGCTATGGTTTCAGGGCAAGACAATTTATCTGTGTAAAATTTTGTAAAGACGCTCATGAAATCATTGCTTCTCAGAGTTAGAGGAATAGATGGGTCAGTAGAGGTGTGACTTTCTGTTTCTAAACACCGACCATAATAGAATTTCTGTCCAGAATCAGTGTAGTTAATAATTCTAAATTCAAATGTGTGATTTTATCTGCCGTAAGAACTAGCTCTGATAGAAATTCAGAGAATTCAGATAAAAATTCAGTGTAAGGGGCAGGCGGACGATATACGATAACTAGATGAATTGGTTTACCAAATGATTGATATATTATTAATGTTGCTGAGAAGATGCCCGATGTACTGACATTTGCATTAATTACTTGACAGGAAAAAAATGTATATGGAATGCTTCATTTCACATGAGCAAAATTTTGCCAATCCTTCATTCAACTTTACATTATTCCAATGACAATATAATTAATTGCCCTACAAATTCAAACTAAGAGTAGAAAGGCTTTAAAAGCAGTTACGTACCTGATTTGTTGGGATTCTCAGCCACCCAGGCGATGGTGATGCCTCCAATCTCAGAGTCACTGAATCGCAGCAGAAAGGTGCCGTTGGGTTTGGACAACAACATGTCCTGTGCCTGCTGCTTGTTTACAAAGCCCAGGATGGCACTGCATACAGGAAACAGATACACACATAGTTACACAACTATTTTGTGCAGTGGTTCCACATGAGAGCATCTTCCTGGTCATAGCAAGTAAAGGCTAGAATTAATTTGTTTAATTTAAAAAAAAAAAAAGTAATATGACAGATAATCAAACCAGTCCATTTCATTAATAAGCTGAACTGTCCTATACAGCAAATGTCAAAATGTTTTTTGTTGAAATGTGTTTTGTTTCAGCACTTATCATTTTTTGATTTAATTGATTTTGTGTAAAAGAGCATGAGTACACACAAGTAGAAGGATGCATTACGTAGTCTTTCACAAACTTTAGTGAGAGTGGTGGATGATTGTTTTGGAGGTTTGGACAAATCAAGATATTATGCAATTTATTGTTAAAAGTTTGGGTCTCGAGGAAACACCGCCTTTCTTAATATCCTCAAACGATACTGGAGTACTTTGGTTGTGTTTGAAAAGCAAACTAAATCTTGGGGGTTGTAATGGAACTTTTTACTAGACTTAAAGCATTGTAATGCACAGAAAACAAGCCAATAATGACCATGAGCCATCAATATTTTATGATTCACATATTTGTATCATATCCACAAAAATACAAAGCAGTTACTTTGCTTCTTCTGCAACAATCTTCAAATTCTTTTTTAGAGATTCTTTTGAGAGAGACAATGTTATAGCAGTGTAATGCTAAATCAGTACTTTTTAGTCTGTAGTGTGACTTGATACTCTCTGTAAGTCTTGTATTTGCGGCCTTCAAGAGGATTTACGTCTGGCTGCAGTGATGTACAAGTGTAGAACGCCATGACATCAGTATTGAGTGTGATTACGAGTGTCACCAAGCAAAGTCTTGCGATAATGAGACATCGCAGTCTTTGAGGTGAACATACAAAAAGTCAGCATGAGTCATTACCCATCATTCCAGTGAGGCTTGAGATGTTTCTTCATGAGCTCAACAACTCCATCAAACCACTGCCAGAAGGTGAAGTTGCGTCCAGGTAAGCTCTCCTGTACAAAATAAGCATATTAGTTCAGAATGTTCACATGCACACAAGATGCTGCCACTGACACACTGTGGTGCAGCAAACTTTACAGTCAGTTGTGGAAAGGAGCTGGCCTCACCCGATTGAACTGGGCCCAAGAAATGCTCATGTTGCTGTAGTCCTCAGGGTTGTTGCTGCTGCTTGAAAACGCCTTTTGTGCCAGGAAGACCAGGTTATCCTCTGAAAGGCCACGCCCGCTGTGCATTTCCGCCTTGTACTTCATATCCAGGGCCTCACACAGCTGGGGCCATAGCACCCTGTCTGGCACGATGAACGGCACCCTGCCCTGAGGAGAAGAAGGGTGCCGTGGGAAAATATGGAAAAAGAAGCACAGGCCTTTCAGATCCTGACTCTGCACTTGTCAGATTTGTGGGTTTGCTTCTCGGTCCTGTATTAATCAATATTATTTGGTGAAACGTGGCAAAATAACACCTTTATGATATTTTCTAAGATTTAGTAACTACACTGAAGGATGAGGGGGAGACACATGAAAACATATGTCAAAAGGCAGTAACTCAGAGTTTTGTTTCTTATTTTTTTATTAAAAAAATGAATAAAACAACAATATCTCTCATATATAAATAGAAAATGAATTAGCAACAATTGACAATACTAAGGATTACCAACAGCTGTGAACCAGTGGATGTTGTGGTTATATGGTGCCTTTATTGAGCAAACACAAGTGGAAACGCTATTTTAGAGTCGAGCAAAAAGCCAAACTTGTGCTTCCCTAACATTAAGATTTGATGCTGTACTTTGCCATATATGCTGGTATACTGAAGCTCTTTGTAGATTTGGGGAAACTGTAGTTTATAGTCAATGCTCACAAACATTGGTAAGGGACTATTTTCAGTGATGGATTAATCTGCATCCAGTGCAGGACAGTGTATGTGATTCAAATTAAATGACGGTGAGGTTCTTTGTTTTTTTGAAAAGCTTTCGAACAACAATGGGGCTCAGAGGAACCAGATATTTAATACTACTACATAAGGTCACAGCCTTAATTGGTGAAATATAGAAACAGATAGTACAAGTGCCACCAACCTACCGGCTCAGCAAAGGCATTGTCCCACAGGACTGTTGCTGTGGCATTGTTGTCCTGACTGCCATGGACGATCACTACCACAGGGAGTGATAAGGTCTGCAGGTTAAAAGAACAAAAGGTGGGTAATATATTCTCCTGGACAGCTAGAAAAATTTAAGCTTACGGAAAGCTTGGACGAAGACACTTCTTGCTGAAAAGTGCTGGGTATTAAAAATCTTCCAAAGGAGACAAACACAATAGTAAAGAAATCAATATAAGACGGCCAAAGTAATAATCAGTTGTATCATTAGTATTGCAGATCCCAGTGTCCCATCTGATTACTTTGACATGGAAGACGAGTTCATTTCCCCCGACGCTGAACTGTGATTCAAACAGAACTGTGAACTTCTCCTCTGTCACTGACTCTGCACCTCGACGGTCAGAACGCTTGATCCGTTTCAGTGACTGTAAAAACACAGAGAGCAAAGAGATGAGAAAACATGAGAGGAATACTGCTTCACTTCAACTAACACGACCAATGTGGTGCATTCAGAAACAGCTCTGCAGCTGCTGGAGAGACGCTGCATGGCCAGACGTCACTGAACTAACTGTGTTACTCCAGTAAACATTTATTCTTCTTCTTCTTCTTTGATCAAGTTACAGGCAGGTGTCAACCAACATCAAGGTGCATTATGTGTGTGTTTGTATATATGAGAGCTTTCAGTGAGGATTACAACCAAGAAGATGAATGCAAATATTTGGGGTAATTTCTGATAAAATTATTTTCATCACAGTTGTCATGGGGTTTGCGTCAGTATAGAGGCGGGCTGTGTTAAATTGATTCTCAATTAATAATATATGTGCTTTATGAAAAATAAATAAGTGAATAACATATACAGCTCTATCTCTGTTTGCTGTCATTCTCACCTGTTGCCTCTCTTACAGCAGCATGCTTTTTTCAATCAATCACATTTTATTTGTATAGCCCATATTCACAAAACACAATATGTCTCATAGGGCTTTAACAAGCTGTGACATCCTCTGCCCTTAACCCTCAACAAGAAAAAAACTGCCAAAAAACCCTTTGAACAGGGAAAAGAAATAACGTAAAACCTCAGAGAGAGCCACATGTGAGGGATCCCTCTCCCAGGACAGACAGAAGTGCAATAGATGCCACATTTAACATCTCTTTTTTCCTAACCCTCTCTTGTTGCTTGAGCTGCCACAGCTGCTGAAGCCTCAGGGGAGGCAAACACATACAAATTTTATATTGGTGGCAAGCTTTTTAGAAAAAAACTCTTTTGTATCCCTCTCACACTCCTTAGCAGTACATTAAAATATGTCCAATAGAGCCTACCATGTTTCTGAAGTGTGCACTGAGGGTGCCAGTGGCCTGGTGGTATTCCATCACACAGTTGTTGTTGAGGATTTCTCCACTGCTTTCGCTACAAAGGCAGAAGAAAGCAGTTCGAAATAATTAAACACATCCTCAGTGACTGTAGCTCTTTAACAAAGGAGACAAAATAACTAATTAATGAATTCATCTTGTACATTAATTAAATGCTGTCTAATATTTAACAAAGTACCTGCTGTAGTCACCCATTATTTTAGCGTTGTACCAGTTCACAATTTATTTTCACGAGTGCATCTGAGAAACCGGTGGGATGCATCTGTCTGCATGCTGTGCCCCTCACCTGTGTGTGCTCTCATTCTTCAGCAGAGCTTTGGCCTGCTGCTCACTGACAATGACAGCCTTGACCTGTGGCGGGTTCATGTGGACATTCAGTTTTCCGCCCACCAGAAGGCGCACAGTGGCTGCAAACTTGGTCTGGGTCTTTAACACCTGGGGTGGCTGCTTTTCAATGATGAAGGTGCTGAGGAAAAGAGGGGACAGTGACATGATGAGCACATCAACATCTTTTTATGCACAAAAGAAAAACACATATTCATTTTCACCAACTTCATTTTTAACGGCCTAGTTCATAGGTCATCTGTCATTGTCAAGGTATGTTACGTACCACATCATTAACATAATTTATACAGACAGGTATATGATTAACAGGTCAGAATATTATGTGGCATCCTGGGCCTTTGGAAATAGCAACGGTGTCTATATACCCTCATAAAAAAATTCTGCTGCACAAAGAGCACAGATATTGAATAAATTACTGGCACCACTATTATGTGATTATTGCTATGAAAATAATGACAGAACCATTTGAAAATAATTTTAAAAAATTAAATTAAATAAATTCGAAATGGCATATTGCCACCCTGTAAGCAACTCATACCAATAGTATGTTGGCTTTGGGGTAATCTTTTATTAGAAAAGAAATAAAGTATTAGTAATCATGTTATATTGGTGGAATCACCTGTAACTACAACATATTTATGAGCACTGTTTAAGTAACCTACTGATAAGCAGTCTTGGGAAGGGGAAGAAGTGGCATTAACATATAGTTCAAAAGGACACCAAACTAAATGAAGGGTAAATAGCAATACTTCAGCAAATACCTCGTAGCAATGAGACAAATACAAAAGTAAATCCTGTAAAAACTCACTTGGCCTAGGCTATGGTGTCCACAAAAATCCGAATAACAATTGATGAGCAGTCACAACCCTGGCTAAGCCCTAAACCTAATAACATCAAAGTTACGGATGGCTTGAAGTATTAATAGCTCTGGAATCCTGCACATTCAGAAGATGCTCCAGGAGGCATGGCCTTATTCACATTCACTAAGCAGATATAAACTGTTTGGGCAAACTCCCTTGACAACACCAGAATCCTCACAAGAGTAAAGACCAACTCACTGTCAGGAATTAGCTGTATAGCTTCTCCTGAATCTGTTGGCTTGAGTCTCCTTTTCAACAATTGGAACTAACACCCCATTTGCCAGAGCACAGGTACTGTGAGTAACTTTCATACAACACGGAGGAAGTTAGGTCAAGTTTTCACCTGGTAACCAGGGCAGAGATGATATCAGTGATGTCACCATTGAGCTTGCTCAGCAGCTCTTCCATCGGGCCTGGCAGGGGGAGCTGTTGGGTTAGATGCTCACAGCGCCGGATCTGCTGCCGGTTCTGCCAGATGAGGTCAGCCAGCTTCTCACACCTTGTGGACAAATAGCAGAGTTGGAGATATAATAATAATAATAATAATAATAATCCCATGTTTATAAATTGTTGTGTTTTATAGATTTGGTTTCTCATCCTAAATGCCTTCATTGAAAGAGAACGTTTCTACAAACCTTTCTCTTTATCATAATAAAACATGCACTTGCTTGGGGGTAGGGGAAACTGTTCCATCCATCCCTGTTATATATTATGTGAGTTGAACTAATAACATGCATTTCCAGTATGTACCAGGACTGGAGGACATCCAGTCCCCCCTCATGGGGACCCCCATTGCCAGCCAGCTGCTGCCTCCTCTTCCACTGGATGAGCTCCTCATCAAGGATTAAAGTTTGCTGCTTCCTCAACAGACCCAGGGTCTTCTGGTGTTGCTCTGACAGGTCCTGCAAACACATCACCAGCCACATGCTGAGTAACTGATGCATTCACTCAGCGCATTAACATATCAAGCTGCATGATATGACGTATTGATAGGAACATGCTTACACATGTAAAAATGCAGAATGGAAATCCAGTTATACAAACACATGTCCATAAAATGTATTTCCTCAGGGGGAATCTGGCTGGGGCGGTCAGATTTCTCCAGTAACCTTCCCCAGGATGAAAACCAAGTCTCTAATGATCTTCTCATATATATAATTATATATAGAAATCAGATTACTGCAAAAAGCAGACAGTATCATGTCTACATAAGCAAATGTTGACATGATGACTATAATCTGTTTCTGCAAGAGCCCTTCCAAATCATATAACATCCATAAGTCTCACAGCCTAAGGAAAGAAAGTGCTCTGAAGTCTGATGGTATAGCAGAGGGCATGCACCAACAGGCGGAACAGACTGTGGTTAAGTCTGGTCTTAAGGATCCTTTAAACTCTGCAGGTATCTCACCAATATCATTGGTGAGGTGGTGAGCTACGCAGCTCGGCTCATGATAGATGAGCAGATAAAATCACCCACTGCAGAGCCTTTCTGTCCTCGGCAATGCAGAGTGCAAGTTTTTAATGATTCCAGTTAGGATGTTTTATATTACTCCTCTGTCTAAGTTTACAAGGGCTTGGCACAGGAAGTTAAGAAATATTAATAGTGTAGATTGGATTTTTTTTGGAGTCTTCTTTTGTTCCTACATAGAAGATTCCACTAGGGCATTTAACACAATACACCATTAAGAAGTGTCAGATCAGCTGGAGTCATGTCCTTTGAATCGGACGACAGGATGTACATGCATACAACACCAAACTCTCAAAACTTAATATAATAAAGTAGCAGGCTGGACTTGAATAGTAGAATAAGTGGTTGGCTGCTTGTTCTGCAGACCACCATTATTTAATGCTCTGTTTGAAAACTAAAAGCAAAAAAAAGATTATTAATTTGGATATTTTCCTGTTTAAATTGGATTAATATTTATTATCCAAATGTTACAGTTATATTATGAGCAGAGGGACAAATCATTTGAAAATAATATGACTCGCCAATGCCCTAAGACTGCAGGTGTAAATGCATTTAAAGCATGTAGGATTCAAACCTTATCTTTCCTGAAGGCTTTCTATGTTAACAATACTGTGTGTGTGTCTATGTCCACACTGATACAACTTTGTTTTAAAATAATCTCCATCCATGCTAACACACATGAAAACACATATGTGACCATTAATGCACACTGGGCATGCCAGTGTAAAAAGAAAGCAGACTGTCGTCTCTGCAGTTGGCTGCCTCAGCAGTTTTCAAACATGACATAATGTGGTTAAATCTGGAGAATTGGCTACAGAGTTTACCCCGAGTTTGCTACACCAGCAACAAAACCTCCTCATTATTCAGGCGAGAGGTGGAGCAGCCGGGTGCAGCAGTCAGAGGCAGGAAGTGACGGAGACAGAGATCACGTGACACACACAGACACCGGTGTCAGCTCTTTACACCACAAACTCTCTTGACATCTGTGTCCTCTCCGTGTATGTCACCGAAGCGTCATCAACCCCGCCCCCCCCCAAAATCCAGTAGGTTCTCCTGGATTTCTTCAGACATTATACCAGGAGGTCAGGCAGAGAGAGTCCAAAGAGACTGCAGAGCGTCTAACTCTGACATTTGTGTTCAAACATGAGAGTTTGAACACAAATGACAGACCTTGAGTGTCTGTAGCCACATTATGTGTCATTGCAAGATATTGCAGAGCCACAGTATATATGTTGTGTGTGTGTGTGTTTGAGTGAAGTGTCTCCATACAAGCCTGTATTTCTGTAGTGTGCTGGCCTCTCTAGTGAGCCAGGCCTCCACAGTGGCCCTCTTGCTCTGTAGGGTGGTCTCTCGCTGGGTGCGCTCGGCTGGAGGCAGTGAAGACACATTGCTGAGCTGTGCTAAAATGGCAGGAGACAGATAACAGACAGAACATTAATAACACAAATCACTGCTAACTTGTGGGGGATCCCCTGCTGTGTTCACACATCGGACTCTCTTGACTTTCTCCAGACTCTCGGGGGCCAGGCGAAGAAAGTCAGCAGTAAACATAAGGTACTGGGCAGGTCTGTATAACTTCTGATTAGTGTTGGTGTTTATTGTTAAATTGCAAAGTGAGCTCAGGCCAGCAGGAGATTGGGGAGGGAGGACACTCTGACAGGGTACCTGGGCATAAGGTGACAGGATCTAATATGATGCCCTGATCCTGAAACTGTGGCTGTAATAATTTTGTAGCAGAAGGCAGCCTTTAAGATCAACTGAATTGAGTTTCCTCTCCTGTGGCCGCCTTGGTGTCCCCATCTGGTTCCAACACTCCACTGATCTCTTTAAACTAATGCACTAATGCTTGTGTGGTCAGAAACTCGGATTATAACCTTTACAGTATCTGGGTGGCCCCGCCGGCCCCCTCTTTGCAGCGGCACTGCATCGAGGCGCATTACTCAGTGCTGGTCAACAAGCGACTCTGCTCCTCTGCTATTTTCAACTCACTCACACATAGAACTGATCTTTATAATAACCTAGTGAATTCATATTATGTTCTTGGATAAACGGAGCGTTGCTTCTTCTGCAACAATGAAGTTAAAACATAGCGTTGGGTCATAATCAGCAGTGGGAGCTTCTCTCCTTTCTCGTAATAGCTCCTGATTAGTGATGGGGTTTATTGTAAACACGTAAAGTCAGCGCAGGTCAGCAGGGGAGTGTTGAGGGAGCACATGTGGCAGGCTAATACAGCACGGTATTATGTGCGCCTGCTGCAATATTGGAGAAGCCGCTGCAAAATGAATGTAGCGAAAACCCTGAAGGGAAGCATCAGCCACTGTCCCGACCTCCAAAGTCTCAAAATTCAACTTAGCGAGCGAGTGACTGTCGAGTGATTTTGAGCAGTTGCAAGCATGTGGGGAAGGAGCAAACCTGCCTCAGCCCAGTGTTTGCAGAACCACAGTTGTGCATGCAGAGCAGTAAAGTTTGCGAGTGTGGTTTTGTGTTAGTGTGTGAGAGAGACGGAGAGACTCTCACCCTGGATACGAAGGTTCTCCTGGTACTGGATGATGAAGTACTCCTGGCTGTGCTGCAGCTTTCTCAGTTCGTTCTCAGTCTCCTGTGTTGCCAAACGAAGTTCCTCAAAAGACTGGTTGATCTGTTGGTGGCGCTGTGACAGGCTGTCCATAGCCTGGCCACCAGTCTCAGAGCTGGCCTTTACACAAATACATTTGAAACATTAGAACATTCAAAAATTGTTACAACCCAAAACATGACGGCATTTGATGTAATTTGTTCTTTATTTATTAATTCGTAATGTAAATCTCAACCTCTTCAACACTTACATTTGTGGCTTCTTGAACCAGCCTCTGCTCTGAGTGCAGGATGTGTTTAATGCAGCGCACCAGCTCCAAAGGACAGCGGTCATAAGTACTCTGCATGCGCACACAAACACAAATAATTTTAACTAAATATGGATTTTTTGATATTACTGCAACACATCTGCTCCGAATGCACATATGAGGTCCCACAAACGAGGGACTGTGATGAGTGCCAGAATTTTTAACGGCATTTTCCCTGTTTTTATGTTCACGCTTTTTTCTAAGGTTGTGCAAGTGATTTCTAAATTCTAAATAGAAAAATTGATATCAAGAGAACTTTGGGCGAGGTTTATTCAGTTAAAAAAATGTACACAGGTTCTAGTAAATCTAAAAGATTCTGCAGTCTGCTTGAAATGTAATGATGCTGAGGGCACACCAGTACATGTACAATGGACATGCCAAAAAATTCAGTTTAGGAAGCAGAATTATTACTTGGCTACTAAAATAAAAAAATAAAAATTTCTTTATCTATTAAAAGAATGTAAGGTCCTATCCACATTTCCACAATCACTGTAGTACTGGACTGGCAAAGGTATAATAATTGGATGCCATATCATACTCTTGAACTAGAAGAGCGTCCTTTTCTGGACTGGGTGAATGAATTAGGAAAATGAGCTATATATGAAAAAATATCACAAGATATAAGACAGAAAAATATCTCCTCAAAAGGCGATCTCATGTGTTTCAGCATAATGTTCTACTGTCCAAAAACAAGAATAATGGGCGATCTAGTTTTCCTTTGTCTTACTGTAGCTGACTGGTACCTTGAGCTGGTTGGCATAGTGGCCCAACTTGATCTTGAGCAGAAAACCGTCCTCTCCTCCCTGAAGTTGGGCTCTCCTCTGAAGCTCGGTCACCAAGTTGTCCAGCAGACGCTTGGCTTTGGCCTCTTCCGCTGGGTTGTCCAACTCCACGGAATCCCTTTGAAATGTTCAACCAATTCAAGGCCAATCTCAAGCATGCACTGAAATCCTGAAATTTTCTATATGAAATGCTTCATACATTTTCTATAACTTTTCCTGCCAGCCCCCTGGTAAAATGTCAGGAAAATATAAACTGTAAAATTTAAACCCAGGCGAAAATACAACAGGACATTTAAAAAAATAAAATAAAAAAAAATCACAGCAAGCGAGGGGCCGTGTTGATGACGTTTTTAACACGAGATGGACGCAAAACTGAAAGATTTTAAATATCTCTGGGTGAAAATGTGAAGCTGACAAAGAAAAAATAGATTGGAGAGTTTTTGGTGATGGGGCTAACGCCAGAGTTGATGTGGTGTGAACGAAAACACTGAACTTTCGGCAGCAGACCCTGCATGCTCTACCTGGGCTCCACCCCTCACCTAGATGTTCCGTAAAGGTTCCTGTTGTTGTGTCTGACACAAGACTAGGTGCACTGGACTACACATATGTCATTGCCAATTGTAAAGTATTATTATTATTATATTATGTATGAATTTTAAGACTAGGAATCCAGCTTATGACATCTTATATCCAAAGAGACATTGATCAAACCCAGATGCTGGGAACCAATAGATTAAAAATAAAAGTGAATGGTCTCTGTCCTACCAGAGCTGGCTCTCAATCCACTGGGCCAGGTAGTGCCGCACCTCGATGGGAAAGTGCTGGCCATACAGCGCCTGCATCTGGTGCAATGCCTCACCCTGGAGCTGCTGGGCCTGGATCCACATTGCCATGGTGCTCCTGAGGAAGCAGGGGGGGGGGGGGGTTGCAGGAAAAGAAGCCAGGGACAGGATGAGGGAATAATGTCTGACACACTGGTGAGCAGTTCCCAGGGGGGGGTGGGGGCAGATATAAGTCTTAAGTTGCAATACTGACAAAACCACATTCTAAACTTCCTGAGTCATCACTAAAGATAGTGTGCACTTCCACAAATTTTTGCTCTGGGTCATTTGTTAGAGAAACCCCCCTCCTCCATCTGACATATTGACATACTGATACAAGACAGAACAAAACCGACGTGCTTAGGCTCATTTCTAATTATATCTCATTTAGAATCGAACAACGATTTTCTACACTTCTCTTTCTCTTTAGGACAAATCTAGTGTAACCAGTGTCATTAGTTCAGTGTTTGAGTCACTCAGAGATCCAACATGAACATATATGTACAACCATTGTGTGTCTGTGCTCTCCACTGCAGTGACACACACGGACACATGTGTGTGGGTTCGGTAACTGTATATCCTCAAGTTTCCCCACAGAGCGGAACATCGAAAGGAAGCTGCGCTGCAACAACTTTGACAGATAGCTTAGCATGCTAGCGTTACTGTACTTTGGGGTTTGCTCGTTGGCTAACAGAGGAGACTAGCAAATAGCGACCTCTGTCTTTTACCGAACAACGGCGGCGGTGAATTCAGGTTCCATGTAATGCTTTTGTAGCGGCGGAACGCAGCTAAGCTAGCGAGGGAGAGCCGTCCGTTCTACTAGCTAGCATAGTATTGGAGCTAAGTGACAGAACAGCGGGGAAACTTCACTTTCCTGCTCCACAAGTGGTTCACAGATACTCACCCTTCAGAGGCTGCAGCAGCTCAGAGCTGCAGCATGGACGAGCAGCACACACACACTCACACACACTCTCACTCACTCACACACACTATTAATGATCTCACAGCTCGGTTCTCGTACTTGTCACATCGCCAACTTTAACGCCTCCTGGTTTCTGGTAAAGCAGCTGTTGTTGACCAGCACCGAGTCAAGAGCCCACATCACAGCCAGCTTCCTGTTTCGGATTTCACACTAAAAGACCCATTCATCGGCGGTGACACGTCCAATATCCATTTAAAACACGGTGGTTTGGGTTGTAGTTTGTCTGTCAAGTAAAGGGCTGCATGAATGCAATGTTTGGACTTTATTGTTGTGGGATTATTTTGGTGTTTTTAAGGTAAGGCACAAAGGTTCGTCATATCCGGTTAAATCCGTAACTTCAGATAACTTGGTGCAGTTCCGTTAGGAGCCCCGCCCCCAGCCCGCACCCAGATCTGTAATATAACAATATCTGTTTATTACAGATGTGTGTTAATGTTGTTTATTACAGATGTGTGAATGTTTTTTATTACAGATGTGTGTGATGTTGTTTATTACAGATGTGTGTGAATGTTGTTTAT